TAGGTGCCATCATTCCTGACTTCTGAGGTAAGCTGATACTGGAATAATATTTCACACAAATACCTGTTTTTCATCTGTTCTGCGTAACAATATATTCATAACATTGGACTTCTCAGAAGTCATTCAAATTATTTTCATTGCAAAGATGGACAAAGATGCCATCTGAGAGACAGGGAAAAATGGCCTTGAAATTCAACGCTTATTTGTATTAATAAATCTTCAATAGGATTGATTGTTTGAGCTGGAAAAGATCAGTTTTAATTGGGGCATGCAGCCCTCTCCCAACTTCAACTCGCCCTTCCTCAGTAGGCTATTAAAGAATTTGCCGGCAAAGACAATATAATGGCACTTGCTGTATTCAGAGCTTCCCTCTGCAGTTCTCCCCAGCTCTTTTTTAATGAAGAGCAAAGACATGCATTGTATTAAACTGAAGGCAAGTGATGGGTGGGAACAAACTCTTGGAAAAGCTAAGCAGCTGCTTAGAATTCAGGAGCAGGCAGAGCACTTCACCTTCTGCAAACAGCTCATGTGGGATCTGCTTTCACTGGGTGAGGAGGGTGCCTTTCCCACCGTGCAGTACCTTTCTGAAGCTGCAGCCGTAGCCAGGGAATTAAGTCAAGGCAAAGGGGCACGATTCTGTGCCGAGCCAGTCAGGTGAAGGAGGTGGTCTGCTATAGCGCTGGAAAAACTGGGAGGGAATTTGTCGTCGTCACTGAGCGTGTTATGAAGAGGTGTCTTTGTTTCCATGCCCCGCTGTTTGTCATGAGAAATCACTGCCGTGGTAGTTAGTGCTGAATCGCAGGATGCTCTGGGAAGGGGATTGCTGCCTTGATGCTCGTGGGGAATGGCTGTCAGGTGGCCGGGCACCATCAGGCTGGTGTCTGGCTCTACGTGGGCTCACTTAATGCTACACAGTGTTTCCACCATGGCTTGTTATCACAAGCCTCACAGCCAAGCAAAAAGGCAGGGGTGAAGGAGTGTTTTAGTGCCTTTCTTTCTGTCTCCCCACTGTTTCTGCCCTTCTCTTTCAAGGCACTCTGCAGGATGTTGGCTCCTGCTGCTCATACTGAGGTTAACTTGCTTCTTAAGAGAGAGCCAGAGTCAACGCTGCGGTTCTCTTTGCAATCTGACCTTCTGGTGCTGTGTACAAGCAGGCCTTTTGTACCCAAAACAGCTGCAAATTACTGTACATAAACCATAATCTTCCAGTGGGAGCATTATATTTTTCCATTTTGCTGCTAATTGGATGATACACTTGCAATAGTCTTTGTTAACGTGGCTAGTGCTGGGCAGGGAACAGCGATGGAAGGCTTTTATTTAGAAATCTTGCAAAAATGCAGTGACTGTCCCCATTTGACAGCAGTTGAAACCAATTGTCAATTAACTAAATAACAGCCAATTAGCTTGAAGAAAAAAAGAACAAAATTGCTTACTTCACATTCTTTGTTGAAGCAAATGCCAGTCAGAGGATGGGAGGGTTTTTTTCCTTTCTCCTATGAGAAGACAAAATGACAGAAGATGTGCAGAAAATGCAGTGGTTTTTTTTTTAAATACCATCTTTTTCTTGCACAAGAATATTTGAGAAACTAGACAAGAACATCTTAAGCTCCTGAGACATTTAATTTCCTTTGATTTTTTAAAATCAAAATTACAGTTATTACACAAGCACAATTTTTACTTTTGTCTTTCATGCCACTGTAGGATACTTTCAGCTCTGCTGAAGCTGGCTGCCTTCACAAGGGACTGTGTTATTTGCATCACCAGACCAAGCCCTTCTTTCATATTTTATGGACTCTGAGGGGTCCATAGGTGAGATGTTGTCAGAACTTCTAGTGTTAAAAAATAGGAAGCACCTAGATTTTCCAAACTGGCAAGCAGTGGAGTGGTGCTGTCAGGACTGGTGTTTTGGTCTTAGTTCCCTCTTAAGACCCATGTTTCATGTCTGTGTCCTTTTCTGAATCTGGACAACAGTGCCAAAAGGTGTTGATTCAGTCAAGACCATTGAACAGGGAAAAACAGCCACACCACCAGCAGGAAGAAAAAGGCTCTCTCCTGGTATATTGCTCTTTGTTTTAATTATGAGCTCAATGCTGTCTCCCCAAAAGAAGCAGTGCAGTTCAACATGAAGACGAAAGCTTGATCCCGTAGGCTTTCAGCTGTGACGCAGTCCCAGAGCAGAGGCTCCTGTCTGCACTGGGGCTCTGACAGCTGGGCTGTCAGTGGTCGATACACTGGGCAGAGAAAGAGCACAGATTAGACCAAAGAGGCAGCTGCTACAAGCTAACTTAATATTGCCTCGTTAGTTAGAGACAACCATTCACTTGCGGTATCGTGGCATTGAATTTTTGTTGCCCTTTCCGTGTAAGCAGTTAAGGCCAGTGGTTAATGCACAAAGGCATTACGTGGCTTCACTTCTTGCCTGTTGGGCTGGTCCACAGCTGGTCCCTTGGGTTTGACATCAGGGCTGTGTCTGGGTAATAGCCATTAGTTTTGTCAATCGATGAGTCTTCGCTTAGACTTTTCACTCGTCGCTCAAAAACTGCTTTGAACTGCTAGCAGCGTCATTTCACGGGTTTCAAATTGTGTTACTCTTTTGTTAATACTTCTAGGGCCTATGTTTTACAATTGGATAGTGGAGGGTGAGAGGTATGTCTTTTAACTGTTGGGAAAGCAATGAATATTGGATGCTTTTTCGTTAACAGATGTGAGATACAGCACGGCACGTATTGATCTCTTACTTTCTTACAGGAACATTTTACACCTGAATGCAAGTTCAAAGAATCAGTATTTGAAAACTACTATGTGACGTATTCTTCAATGATCTACAGACAGCAACAGTCTGGCCGGGGTTGGTATTTGGGTCTTAACAAAGAAGGAGAAATAATGAAAGGAAACCATGTGAAGAAAAATAAACCTGCAGCACACTTTCTTCCAAAACCATTAAAAGGTAATTGCCTGAGTTTGTTCCATCTATCTGAACTGACATTATCTTGTGTCAGAGATGTTTAATTGCTGTGCATACATATTTGAAGGGATCAGCTACTTATATAACAGGAGTAGAATGTTCTGTAACACACTATTAATCTAACCAGAGCTGCTTTTTTTTAGGTTTCTCTATGATCTCTCTGCATTTCTCTAATCTAACCAAATATGTATTAGTTTTTTGTGTCTGAAGTCCTCAGTGTCTCCATTGTAGGCCATTGTGAAGTCAGAGAGGGTAGCTCTAGGTGGATGCTGGACTAGTCTGGCAGTTTGAATTCAGGACTAGGTGTTAGGCAGCTGATGTGGAGGTTGATCCTCATTTCTAATGTGTGTGAAAACAAAGGCAATAGAAGACGAAAAATCCATTTTCACACCCACCTACTTAGGCTACACATACAAGTAACAGGCCAAATCACAGCTGTTGACAGTGCTACTTCACCATTAATAACGGAAATGTTGATTTGTAGCAACATAGGTCTATCTCACAGAGTTTTGTGAGTGCAGCGAGTAAGTGGGTGATTTAACTGAGAGAGGGAGGGAGCTGTGGTTTTTCCCTTCTCTAGAAGGTCATTCCCTTGAAGAAGACCTCAGAGGTTCTTAGGGTATGTATGAAGTGGAAGAGGTCTCCTTGCCATGTTTCTTCTATTCACTCCTTATATTGCATACTGCTGAGGGAAAAATCTCAATGTTTCACAGCCAGACTTTGCACCAACAGACCGAGTAGCCCCTAACACGTGCTGACGTACTGCCTCTCTTTTGCTTTGCAGTGGCCATGTACAAAGAGCCTTCTCTCCACGATCTCACAGAATTCTCAAGATCTGGAAGTGGGACCCCAACAAAGAGCAGAAGTGTTTCAGGAGTGCTAAATGGGGGTAAATCCATGAGCCAAAATGAGTCAACGTAGCCAGGTTCAGGCAAGCCAAGTGCTCTCTAAACAGAACCTTACCTCTGGATGCAGTTGAATTCTTACTAGCAGTCTTTCATCCAAATGTTCAATTGCCCAGGACAAGCCACTGAACTTGCATAGGTCACTCGTTTATCAGCCATTAGATCTACTGGTTGTCAAAGGATATACCCCAGTAATGTAGAATATGCTTGTGCATATCACAAGGCACTTGGATAGCCAGCAAACATAACTGTGGAATAAATCTCGGAGAAGAAATGTCCAGCTCTTTCTCTCTCTCTCTTTTTCTCTCTCTCTTTCTCTCTCTCTCCTATGCTTTGTGGAATATGAAACAAAAACATTTCACAGCATTCACTGCTGATAAGAATTTGCTTTCCAACTCAGAAAAAGACCACTTTTGCTCTTCAAAGGAAATTTTAATGCTTGTATGTTTTATAGGGGCAAACAAAAAAGAAATATGTAAACTCTGTTGTTTCCTTGGCTTACCGTTTTATATCTAAGGCTTGATAAAAAATGTATCCTTTAATTTGGAATAGTGCAACTTTTTGATTTCTGAAATCCAATGGGTCTTTAAAGCTGTCTTTAAAAAAATAAAAAAATCAGGGTTGGAACTGAGAGTTGGTGTCTCAGGCTCAAGCAAACAGTGTTCTTGTGGTTTTAAACACAATGAAATATAAATTTTTATAGATTTGTAGTTTCTGGTAAAGTTCTTGTGCTAACCCCAGTCTGTAGGAACTGAGTTGTTTTGTTATCCCAAGTGGAAGTTAACAGAAAGGGATACAATTATCCTCCAGTGTAGATTTCTCTTAATTCCATTTTGTGTGTCATGTTAAACTATTGTTGTGGCTTCTTTTCTAAAGACAGAAACTGTGGAATTAAGGTGACTTAATTTTTTTATAAGAAACGTCTTATTTGTAAAAGTCCTTCTTTCACTGTAATGGGCACGTGAATATTGTGTAGGAGGAAGCGTTAGGACAGATTACCCCTAAACAACATATACTTATACATGCTATTGGAAACAATTGTTTAAAAAAATGTAGTTAGGTTTCCATTTAGGTCATCATGTCTGTTGCATGGGAGAAAGTTGGAATATTGGCATAGAGTTGCATGACGTGTAAGATTTTGTGCATTAATCATCGTTGGATTCTGTGCTCCAAAACTGACATAGTTCTGTACAGGCAGCTTTCTGCCTCGTACAAAAGAGTTGTTTATTATTTGTTGTATACATAACCATGCACTGAATAAACTATTTATATTAAGATGTACTTTTTAAAAAAAAACTTGTTTGATTATATGATGTACATCCATGATTAATTTCGAGGGAAAGGGTTGGCAGTTAAATTATAAAGTTACAAAAGATACTGTAATTTATGTTCAAAATCTTTCTGTGTAATGAGTTATTCCCCTGTAATGCCACACGCTATACAAATGAGAATATGTTCTTTCTTTTGGCTTGTTGTTAGAACTGGTCTCACGTGCCCAGCCGAGATACTCAAAACATAGCGACGATTAAGTGCCACAAAGACTTGGTACCGGCCCCTCTGCCGTGTGCTGCTGGAGCCCCAGTGAGTTGTGCTCCTCTGCTTTGAGCTTCTCCAGCTTCTCCGTGTCTGCCCTCCCCATTAGACTTTCCGTAGTGCAGCCACGTAGCGCTACCTCACAGGACACCTCCCCAGAGCCCTCGGTGCAGGGGGTGCCAAAGAGATCTGGTGAGTCAAGCACTTCTTGTGCCAGGGTGGCACCTTGAGGATGCTCGGCGGTTCCCGTGCATCACCGCAGGTACGCTTGAGGCACCAGCTTTGTCTGGTCTCGAGGGAAAAGGCTCCCATGCCTCCCACCTTTGTGCACGTGATCTGGAGAGCAAACATCCCTCTCTCCTGCCTTTTCTCTTCAAAACCATCAGTGAGAACTTTTCTCATCTGCAACATCTAGGCAGCTCTGACGGGTGAGCTGAACTCATCAAGGTGTTTCCAGAAATCCTAGGAGGAACAAATGTTCATCATGGGTGTCTGAAGAACCATTTCTGGAAGGGAATAATGGAAATGGAAGCAAAAGATACATATAAATATTAATCTGACATTAAAGTCAGGTATTCTGCTGTCTGCTCTGCATGTCTCCCATCTGACCAAGCTGGCGTTAGAATCTTCGAATGGCCTAGGTTGGAAGGGACCTTAGAGATCATCTAGTCCAACCTCCCCACCATGGGCAGGGACACCTCTCAACTAGATCAGGTTACTCAAGGCCTCATCCAACCTGGCCTCGAACACCTCAAGGGAGGGGACATCCACAACTTCTCTGGACAATTTATTCCAGAGTCTTGCCACCTTCGTACTGAAGAGTTTTTCCCTAAGATCCAGTCTTAATCTGTTTTACTTAAATCCATTTTCTCGTGTCCTATCAATGGACACTTTTGCAAAATGTCCCTCTCCAGCCTTCCTGTAGGTTCCCTTCAGGTACTGGACCTCAGACTAGGCTGGGACAATGTTTTTTATAATGGTTGGGGCTGATAGAGGAGGAAATGAGATTAAGACCAAACCTGCAGATTTGTTTTGTGGCAAATAGTAAGCGAATTGCTCTGTCTTACAAAGCTCCCACACTGGCGCAGGGTGTTGCCCACCCCAAACTCCACCATCTTGCTGTCCTTCAGAGAGCAACAGCTCACCCCTTTCAAAGGGTGAAGAAGGTGTGAGCACAAGCAATGCCATAGAAATCCTTAATAATTGAAAATATGGCTGCAATTGCTTTAGAGGTTTTGATAACTCAGTAGGTCTGGAGCATCTGTTCCCTTCAACTAAGTGTGGTACCCATTTGTGGAATGTTTCTCTTAACCCTCCCTGCCCCAAACATCAAACTTATTATGGTGCATGTTCCAAAAAAAAGGAGCCTGAGTGCCTTAGGAACATAAAACCTGGTTGAAAAGCAGGCATATTTGTGGTGAAGCTAGTTCAATGCTGAGCATTTACTATCCTAAGGACAACTGGAGGTCTGTTGCTTTACTTTATAGCTGCAGTCTTACTGTTATTCCCCATCCCCAGTGCCTCCAATCTAGAAGGTCATCTGCAGTGAAAGAAAAATGCTCATCTCACAAATTGTCCCTTCTGAGGTCTGTGGTCTGACCTGTCTTTTGTATTGATGTTGGCATCAGCTGTGAGCATTCACTGCCAAGTCTCGAGTTTCAAAGGTTTCTAATATACCAAGTTAACAAAGGCCGCTCTTGGATTGAGATGAGTTATGGTGATACATGAACCATAAACAGCTGTTTCTGACAATTATGTTACATTTCTGACAAACCTGCTCCAACAACATTTTTTCCTTCAGATTATTGTGGACTGAAAGGGCAATACTCTTGACAGAGTCCTGACTGTAGAAGAAAGCTCAAGTACACTGTAAGCAAAGTGGGAGATTATGTCCAGTGTTTTACATGTAGTCTCTGGAGCCAGGGACTGGGATTTAGTGAGAAATAGAGTTAAATCTGCCTTTGCAAGCAGTGAAATGAAGGTGGTATTCTGACCCAGCCAGCAAAATCTCTTGGGTAGACCAGGATGTGGCTTCAGCAGAGGGCCAGGCTCCAGAGTATTTATTTAGACTTCAGCACCCATAAATTAGAAAGTTAAACCAACAACTCCTGGCTTCCTTTAAGAAATCTGCTGGGAAAATGTCCGTGCTGATTGTTGTCTATCGAAAGAAAACTTACAGCCACTGGACAACCCATGTTGCTCTGCCACATGTACCGTGGCAGAGCACTGTAAGATGCACACCTGGAGTAACGGCAAAGCCCAGGGGCTGGTGTGTGAGCCCTAGGCTGGCTGGGAGCCTCTTGCCATCTGCAGAAGACTTGGTCTCCAGCCCTTCTGTTATTGCCAATGTGGTGGTCGATGCCTTTCATCTGCCTTTTCTCTTGTCCCTGCATCTCCAGCAATGCTGCCCACACGCTGTGCAGCGCACCGCGGGGCTTGGCTCCGGAGGAGCTTTCTGATGCACCTCGGCTTCCCCCGGCAAAGCCACCCCGGGCGCTGTGCAGAGACCTTTTGAATGGCTGACGAATACTACCGGCCAACCCAAAAGATGGTCACCCATCAAATCGGGAGGAGTACTGCTAGCAGCACAGTTATTAGGAGGCAAAATAGCTGTCTTTTTGTGATCCACTTGTCAGAGTTGCTTTCTTGGAGGTCTCTGCAGGGGGCCCAGGCATTGCCTGCTTGACTTGATTTTGGGGTGAGGGAGGATGGGAAGAGCTCTTCTCTGTATCACAGAGATCTTCCCTTTTTTCTTTTCTTTTCTTACTTTTAGTTTACTTCATGCTACCTCATAGCATGGTTGTATCTCCGTAGCCACTTGCTCAGCCATGTTCAGTCGCTGGCACGATGGAAGACAATTCCCTACTTGGGGAGAATAGCTCCACGCTATCCCAGGGAAGAACGGTGCCCCTTCTGCAGCACCGTCTGCTGTCCCCACTGCTGATTTCCAGCCCACGGGCCAGGTTTTCCAGTGGGATAAAGACGGTGTAACGAGCTCAGGGATGCTGCGCTGTGCCAGACCTCTCCCCAGCTGAGCACCAACATGAGAGCCAGATCTGGCAAAGCTCTGCTGTGTCTTGAGTATCTCTGCGTGGAGACCAGAGCCAGCTCTAACGGGTTTAAATGTCTCCCTGACATAACTGTGACCAGGACACTTTTGCAGGACAGAATCTGTACGTAACAACCTCCTATCTTCTAATAAATAATTCTCTCTAAAACAGACTCGCTCTTGTCTGGGCTCTGATTTGCATCACTGCAGATATTCTAAGGGCCCTTCACCACACTGCCAGTGTGCTACGCCTTTGCTTCACTTTCCTTGGGATACAGAACCTTCTCTATTAACGATGTCCTTTTTTCTATGTCTCCCTAAACATAAGAGGCACAACTCGAGTGGCCAAGCCAAGATGATCACAGATGAATCCTTCAGTTTGCTGTAGCCTCAAAATGGTCCACCGAGGACACAAAGTGTGAGGCATTTTACCAGCTAAAGGACTGACTTCGTCTCTGCAAAAAATGATGTAAAAGAATAGTAGAAAGACTATTTAAAATAAATTCATTTCTTAGGAAAAAGCCCTGCCATGCAATCTACCCTGAATAACACCACCTTTGGGCTTTTTTTAGAGTTTTGGAGGGGAGATAATCTTATCATAGAACATTTTCAGCTGGAAGAGACCTTCAAGATTGAGTCCAACTTAAAATTCCAAAGTCACGGGGTAAATTTTTAAGAAAGTCTCTTTCCTGGCATGAGTGAGCAGAGCTGTGAGACCCTGTCCTTTCCTGGCAGGCTGGCACCGAGATTTTAGAGAACAGAGTCCTGAACCAATCTGAGTTTGCTGGTACATGATGGCTTTTATTGCTGACGGGCTCCAGTAGCAGATCCTGCCCTGCTTTGGGAACATGCTACATCAGTTTTGGGAGGGGTAGGGG